GGGGTTGGGGGCATGCCCCCACATTCCCTCCTCCCTACGCTAGTGATCAGAATATAAAATCAATGTTAAATCGAAAAATTCGCTACAACTATTAAAGATTAAAGATTTATCATTTTTAACTTTAGCTATAGTGTTTGTATCTCTGCATGGGTCATATGTCATATACTTATTAGATACAAATCTTCTCTCTCATAATTTTTAGGCTTACTGGAATGTCTCCATTTGCTGGGGAAGACAAGCAAGAGACTTGCTACAACGTCTCACTATGTGCAATGGAATTTCCTGAAAGCCACTTTGACTCAATCTCGTACACTGCACGGGACTTTATACAAAAGATTCTACAGCGCTCTCCCGAGTAAGTGAGCCCGAACAAATCCCGTACTCCTCCCATACCCTGTACGACATTTTCCGAAGCCCTTCCGAAGCCATTCGGAAGCTTCCAAGGGAATTAACGTTTCTGAAATAATTCAGGCAGTTTAAGTTTTTATTCGGGATTTTTCCTTGAATTGAAACCTTTTTGGTGACATTATGATAAAACATCGTACAATCCATAAATTGTTTTTTTGTAATATGTCATAGTCGTAATGGATTATTATGTCATATCAACATGGTGGCCTTTAAGTAGTTTATTCTTAAAGTTAAACTTTTTTACATTTTCTTGGTTTTTATATTTACGATAAACAATTTTGTAAATCTGAAAAATATTTGTAAACATTGAAAAATTTGAAGCCATATCTTATTTTTCCGTGTGACGTCATAGCCGCCATCTTGGATCGTGGCATTTCCAACATGGCGGTCAGTCCACAGTATGCCCAGGCTATTATCCTTTTACTTAAAAGACAGTGATATTTTTGCAAATTTCTTCTTTTAAAAAAACCTGATAAATATTTACAAACCTCCATGCATCCACTTGGAAAGCCTAGCCACAGTATAAAAAGCCGGCGCAGCCTGTGGTTAGCCTCTTAATAATAAATTAAATATGACTGTTATAATTGAATTTATCTAGCGATAGACCAACAGTCGAAGAGTGTCTTAACCATCCATGGCTGAACACGGAGGAGTTGATTCAGAAAAGTCCAAGTAGACGAGTCCGTCGGTCGAGTCACCAGCACATGAACGGAGAAGCCAAGGATTCCTGCAAGAACGAACACCACAAGAAAAGAAAAAAGCTTAAAGCAGTTCAACAAAACAACAGCCTGGTACAGATAATCACGTAAAAAAACATAGTAGGTACAAAGTGTCTAAGCGAACGTTCAAACATCTTAAGTTTTTTTGGAGCCACAGGGTTTATTTTTTGTTTGGTTGGTTGGTTCTTTGTTTGTTTGTTATCTATTTAATTGTATTTGTCTGCTGCTTTATTTCTTTATTTCTCCTTCTCCTTCTCCTTCTCCTTCTCCTTCTCCTTCTCCTTCTCCTTCTCCTT